GCCATGGCCACACCCTCATGTTCTTCCATACCACATCATGTCATTGACAGGGGCAGGAAAAGGGACAGGTGTCTTCCTAGCATGGATCATGGGGAACATGGATTAGCAAGGCTCTTCCCAACATGGATCCTCCAATTATGGATGAAGTTGGGGCAGTGCACAAAAGTCCTCTTGCATTGGGGCATTGCCAGGCTTTCCCTTACAGGTGCCTCTGTTGGTGTCTGGTTAAGACAGAAATCTGGGTGAAGTTCTTCCCACACTGGGAACACTCGTAGGGCCTCTCCCCCGTGTGGATACGCCGGTGGGTGATGAGGGTGAAGTTGCGCTTGAAGCCCTTCCCACAGTCGGGGCAGCGGAAGGGCCTCTCCTCTGTGTGAATGCGCTGGTGCAGGAGGAGATCAGAGCTGGTCTGAAACCTCTTCTGACACCGGGGACATTCATAGGGCCTCTCCCCAGTGTGGATGCGTTGGTGGGTGACGAGGGCAGGGCTGGAGCTGAAGCCCTTCCCACACTCCCCACACTCGTAGGGCCATTCCCCAGTGTGGATCATCTGGTGGCTGATCAGAGTGCTGCTCTGTCTGAAGCTCTTCCCACACTCCAAGCACTTGTGGGGCTTCTCCCCATCTTGAAGCTGCTCATGGACCACCAGTTCCAAGCCCTGGCTTGAGCTCTGACCACCTTCCTGGCTCAGGGTGGGTGTTTCCTCCTCAGAGCACACTGAGCTGGGTTTGGAGCCCCTCCTCCTGCAGGATCTTGTGGGATATTCCTCCTCATTGGAATTCTGCACTGTGGAGTCATTCAAAATGGCCTTTTCCATGAGGTTCTGCCATGGAGATTTTTCCTCCATGGACTCCATTCTCAGCTCCTTCCCTGGGGAAGGAAGGACAAGGAAAGGATGGGATTTGCCTCCATGCCACAGGGAAGGGGAAGGAGATCCCACCAGTGCATCCCTGGCAGGACGGGGTTGGCAGCAGGGTTGTCCTGCAGCCAGGGTCTGTGCTGGGCTGGGAGATGGAGCTGGAGAGAGGGGGAAAGGGGCACTGAATTCCTCCTCACCTGCCCGGGTGTCCTGGGGATCCTTCTTGTTCTTCACAGCCTCCTCCTCCATCCAGTAAAGACTTGGGAATGGGAAATCCTGTTCTGGGAAGAAAACAAAGGGCGTGCAGTGTATTTTCTACTGGTTTTAAGGCAAACCTGGGGGAGAGTCAAAGTCAGAATTACAATTTAAAAGAAAATGAAGATCAAAGATGCAAATGATACAGAAACACTGCCTTAAACTGACAGAGTCAGGATATAACCTGACACCCTGTTGGTCAGGGCGGTGGTAGCAGTCCCAATAAATGGTGGCTGCAGTCCTGTTGGAGTGAGAAACGTGATTCTGTCAGAGCAGTGATCCTGTAGAAGGGTCTTGTCTTCCTCTGAAGGTCCAGTGGTGGTTATGGAGCTCTTGTCCTCTGGGAATCCAGTAGGCAAGCTGCTTCTGGTGTTGCAAGGCTCAGCTTATATCCAGGTAGGAATGTTTAGATCCTCCCCCTGGGCAGAGCATCCCACAATGCGATGATGGAATTTTATCAGTCCTGCAAAGACCCTCAATGGCCCATTCACAGAAGATATCTCCCCTGGAGGGCGTTATCAGGGCTGAGTCATGGAAGAGATAAAGAACACTGCCCTGCCTTTTTATAGCAGTTTATGAAGTTGGGGATTGAAAACATGCATTTAGTTACATCTTGCATGGCAACCTGAAACAGTGGGGTAATCCCTGCTCAGGGGGTGAACACCATCCCCCTTACTCAAACTGGCTCAGGTGTAAAACCCCCACCCCGGGAAGGCCACACACACAGGGAACAATGTCACACTTGCCCTGCTCCAGGGGAGGTCTCTGTCCCTTGTCACTCCATTGCCATGCCCCACTTTTCTCTTTGTTTTAACTGTCTCTACCTCACAGTTACTGTTCAATAAAATCCATTTTGGATTTGGTCACGTTAGCACCTTAATTGGGGCAGTGGCATCTCTCTAACAATTTTCTTAACCATATTATTTTGGCACAGGGAGTTCAGGGCACTGTTCTCTGACCCCAAGTGCCTTTGACAACAGCATGGTTCCCTCCTCTGAGGAGGTTGTGGTTCTCTCTGCAAGAACTCTTGGAACTTGGATGCAGCTTCCTCTGAGTCACTTATGGAAGAACTGATGAGGAAAATGGCTGTTGTGGGTCTGGATTGTAAAGAAAATATTTTGTTGTCCTTTCTTGAAAAGTTTCCCTATGATCCATGCTGGGAAGACAACTGCCCCAATACCTTCCCCTGTCAATGACATGGTGTAAAACTGAAGTACATGAGGGTCTTTCCATGGCCCTGTAATTACATTCACTCTCACCTCAGGTCATTGTCAGGGGCAGGAAAGGGATTTCTCTCTGCCTGAGGAGAAGGCTGAAATTTCCAGGAAGGGGAAATATGTTGTTGGGAAGAGCCAGGAAGTTGT